TTTTTTTTTTTTTTTTTTTTTAAGGGGGGAAAATCATCGAATGACTGCCCCCGCCTGGGTGAGGCGGGAGGGAGTGTCAGACTCTTACTGACTAAAAACCACCCCGTTCCTTCTCCTGCACGTCGAGCCGGAGCCCCGGTTACCCGTTAGGTTCTCCGCGACTCCGAATCGGCATCGGCCCTATTGGGCCCCATCTGTGGTGGTCTGATGGCTCTTTGAGGCGCGCGCGGAACGCGACGCGCCGCACGCTCGGGTCTGTTTCTGGTCGGACGGGGAGCCACCCATGCTCGCCGTCCGCAGGCCCGCGCTTACGGTGGCCGGAGATCGTCCCGCGATCCCCGACGCCCGGTGTGTCCTTCGCGATGGCTGGCGCGCTTAAGTATAGTTCTGTCACTACAAATATTTTTTGAAATGACAGAAATGATATGATAGATATTTAAGTAAAACTAAAAATTGAGTAAGTCGCATCATCAACCTCAGTCCACTGCAAACGTTAACACAGTTCAACTAACGTAAGTTTCACCAGCAAAAACCCACATATAAACCAACCAACAAACTAGCCTGCGCATAAAATAGTCATAATCATAAGTGTTGCAAACAATAGTCAAGTCCGAGCTTGTTTACGATCTCTGTGGCATGTTGTTAATTTCACCCTGTATACACAAACTTACAAACTACCAAGTGACCATTGTCCGGCCGTTAGATCGGGGAGGGGGGGATGCTTGGAAAGCGACTCACGCGCAACCGACACGACTCCTTTGTACACTCGCAAATCTTTTTAGTTAAACTCATCTAAAAGTAACTGTCGATTTTAGATTAATGTTCCTTGATCTAGATTTTTAGGTATATCGTATTTAGATGAAGCTTACTTAGATATTAAAATGCTATTGGTGGATTTAAGAAAAAAAAATAAACAGAATCTGTGTGCTAGATAGACATAAATCTAAGGATAGTCTCCTCTGTTTTATCTATCAAAGAGGAGAGTGTACCTAATGTGTGTGCGTAAGAACATTTACACAGAACAGTTCAGTACCGAGTTAAGTTTAGTTAGGATGAAATTTCTTAAAACATACATACATACATAACATCACGCCTTTTTATCCCCGAAGGGGTAGGCAGAGGTGCATTTCTTAAAACAAATTATTTATTAAACTGTCAAATACCAAGCGGTCACCGGTGACCGCAACCTATTGTTCTACAATTGTGTCTACAAAACCGGTACTCAACGAGTTAAGGCACGTAATCGATAACCCCAAACACTGACTAAAAAAATATTTATTAAAAGATTAACCTCCTTCATTTTCGGGTAATTTATCTGTTTTCTGTCTGTTATCTGACTTGTTGTTATATAGACTTAAATACGTCGGTTTTAAATTCAAAG